AAAGGTGTGTGCCTAGGGTAATTGACACACAAAAAGGAACTAACCACCAGATCCACATTCCAAGCTGATGGCCCTCTGAAGACTGTGGAGAGGGGTGCTGAAGTTTTTTTTCTCTCTTCTCATAGACTGGAGACACTTAACTTTTGCCTTAATTCAGGAAAGGTGTGTGTTGGAGGGGTCCGAAGTTCAATTTGTTTTTCGGCCTGGTTATCTGGCTGTTTTCTGGCCCTGGTTTGCTGCTGCTTTCCTGCACCCTGTTCTGCCCCCAGCCCAGACCTGCTCAGACTTCATCGGAGAGTCTTGACCCATCTGCAGAGGAACTTTTCAGGTAGGAAGTCACCCTTTCCCTCCTCTGCTCCCGTGTTTGGCAGTGGTTTGTGCCCATCGATCCAACAGCACCCCCTCCTGATCATGGTTAGAATTGTGCCAAAAGGCAGAAAGTATTGAACTGTTTCCTTTTTGAAGGGGACTTTTGGGTACAGGATTATTGTTTAGTTGGCTTTGTGTTCCTTTGTTGGTCTACCAATACACATATATCCTTTAATAAAGGGCTGCTATTTTTTCTTTCTCCATACTTCCTCAATTGGAGCCTCTTAATTTCAGATTTACAATCGCTTAGAGGGAGGAGTTTGGTCTTCTTCATAACTCATCCTACTTAGCAAAACACTTCAGTCTCATTAAACTGAGACACCTGAATATTCATTCCCATTTATTAATTCTTCCCTCCTCCCTTAGAAAACTGCCTCCCAGCTCATCCTACAAAATCATACCCACTTGACAAGCTAGCAGGTTGAGAACAAAGTGATAAAATAGACCTGCCAAACTTGCTGTATGCAGCCCTTCAGATCCTGCCCAGAAAGAGGATGATTTAACCGTAGATATTCTGCCATAGTTCAAGGGACTTCAAAGTCCCCTTTAATAAAATGCTGTTTGTTGCTACCCTAGGAGTGGGGAAAATATTATTTAGTGAGTGTGAGGCTACCCTCTCTTATAATGACTGAATGATCACGGACATTGGGAGGAGTATGTGAGGACTGGAGGAAAGGAAATGTTACTTCTATCTTCAAGAAAGGCCAGAAGGAAGACCCAGGGAACTACAGGCTAGTCAGCCTCACCTTGATCCCTGGGAAGGTGATAGAACAGCTAATACTGGAAACAATTCCAGGCATAGGAAGGACAAGAAGGTAACCGGGAGCAGTCAGCATGGCTTCACCAAGGGAAAGTCACAGTTGATCAACCTGATAACCTTCTACAATGAAATGACTGGCTTAATAGACAAGGGAAAATATTGTCTATCTTGACTTGAGAAAGACTTTTGACTCTGTCTCCCTTAAGATTGTCATAGAGAAGCTGTTGAAGTATGGGCTGGATGAGTAGACAGTAAAGTGGGTTGGAAATCAGCCAAATGGCTGGGCCCAGATGGTGGTGATCAGTGGCATGAAGTCTAGTTGGAGGCCAGTAACTAGCAGTGTACCCCCAGAGTCATTATTGAATCCAGTCCAACATCTTAATGATCTGGATGATGAGGCAGAGTGTACCCTCAACAAGTTTGCTGATGACATAAAAGTGGGAGGAATGGCTGATACACCAGAGTGTTGTGCTGCCATCCAGAGGGACCTTGACAAGCTGCAGAAATGGGCTGACAGGAACCTCATGCAGTTCAACAAGAAGTGCAAAGTTCTGCCCCTGGGAAGGAACAACCCCAGGCACTAGTACATTCTGGGGGCTACCCAGCTGGAAAGCATCTTTGCAGAAAAGGCCCTAGAGGTCCAGATGAACACCAAGTTGAACATGAGCCAGCAATGTGCCCTTGCTGCAAAGATGGCTAATGGTATCCTGGGCTGTATTAGACAAAGTATTGCCAGTAAGCTGAGGGAGGTGATCCTTCCCCTCTACTCATAGAATCATAGAATCAGCCAGGTTGGAAAAGACCTCTGAGATCATCAAGTCCAACCCTTGATCCACTACCACCACAGTTACTAGACTATGGCACTAACTGCCACATCCAGTCTCTTCTTAAATACCTCCAGGGACGGAGAATCCACTACCTCCCTGGGCAGCCCATTCCAATGCCTGATTACCCTCTCTGTAAAGAATTTCTTCCTAATACCTAACCTAAACCTCCCCTGGCAAAGCTTAAGACCATGCCCTCTTGTCTTATTGATAGCTGCCTGGGAAAAGAGACCAACCCCCACCTGGCTACAACCTGCTTTCAGGTAGTTGTAGAGAGGGATGAGGTCTCCCCTGAGCCTTCTCTTCTCCAGACTAAACAACCCCAGCTCCCTCAGCCTCTCCTCATAGGACTTGTGCTCAAGTCCCTTCACCAGCCTGGTTGCTCTTCTCTGGACCTGCTCCAGCACCTCAATATCCTTCCTGAACTGAGGGGCCCAGAACTGGACACAGTACTCAAGGTGTGGCCTCACTAGCACTAAGTACAGGGGAAAAATCACTTCCCTAGGCCTGTTGGCTACCCTGTTCCTGGTACAGGTAAGGATGCCATTGGCCTTCTTGGCCACCTGGGCACACTGCTGGCTCATGTTCAGCTTCCTGTCAATCCAAACTCCCAGGTCCTTTTCTGCCTGGTGAGGCCATACCTGGAGTGCCTTGTACAGTTCTGGGCCCCCAGTACAAGAGAGATACGGAGCTACTTGGAGAGAATCCAGCACAGGACCACAAAGGTGTTTAAGGGACTGTAGCACCTCACATATGAGAAAAGGCTGAGAAAGCTGGGACTGTTTAGCCTGGAGAAGAGAAGTCTTGGGGGATATCTCATCAATGTATATAAATACCTGAAGTGGGAGTGCAAAAAACATAGAGCCAGGCTCTTTTCAGTGGTGCCCAGTGACAGGACCAGAGGTAATGGGCACAAAGTGAAACACAGGAGTGCCCTCTGAACATAAGGAAACCCTTTTTCAATGTGAGGGTAACTGAGCACTGGTTGTGGAGTCTCCCTCCTTGGAGATATTCAAAAGCCACTTGAACATAGTCCTGGGAAACTGACTTGAGGTTGAACATGGGTTGGACCAGATGACTTCCAGAGGTCCCTTCTAATCTCAACTACTCTGGATTCTGTGCAGTGCTTAAAAACAAATCCATCCTTTCTGAATACAGCTCTGTTTCAGTCTCTTAATGGTTAAGTGAAAGCATTTGTGCTATCATAATAGTCATGTAAAAGATCACTTTGGGAATTAAGAAGAGGCTGTTGAAGAATTCAGAAAAAAAGAAGAGACCTTCAAAGGACAGCTTAAGAGGAGCAGACAAGTTGCTATGCTAGACAATATTTGGAGGCAGAACTTTCAGACTAATATCAAACTCCTGACACAGAGCTAAGCAGACACAATACCAAATATAGGCATTTGCATGCATAATTACCAATTTGCGGTTGCAAGTTACATTTTACATTACTACAGTGTGTGGAAACTTATCTCTTTCACTTATTTTTCCCCCTCCAATGTATGCTACAGTTCTTACAAGTTTGACCATCGCTCAAATCCAGCTCTCTTTTTATATCTTTATTTCTCAACTGTCTTAACCACTTTACACTTTGGGTCATTTTTTTACTGTCCTTGTACACTGATGAAACTGAAAGTCTGCAGAAAGAATACCAAGAAACCTCTATCAGTTGTGCTTACTTTCTTAAGGATTTCAAAATTTAACTAATAAAACTTCCTTATAACACTTTGAGATTAATAGTAGAACAACAATATTTTTATTATAAATTGTTCACACCAATGATTTTTAAAGCCTTTCAATCTGTTTTAAAGATAAATGTAATTAATGAAATGTTTCTGGGCAGAAACATAAAAGTAAATTGTTGACTCCTTTCTGCAAAGAAATTATATAAGCTAAGGCAGTTAATGTAAAATCCTCCAAAAGTATGTTCAATGATGTAATGGGAGTGAGGAAGGAATTCGTATTAAGTCATGTGAACAGTGGAGAAGATTGCCCTTTGTGAAAACAAGCGTAATTAAGAGCCATCAGGGAACTTAAGTTACCATATTTACATTCAGTCACTTACAAAAGTAATGTTAACATTTCCAGTTTAAATGAATGATTGATGTTAACTGTCTTCTGTTGCATTTTCAGATAATAGAAAATGTTAACATGATTTGATACTAGGAAGCAAAGTACAAGTGAGCCTCTGAAAAAAGAGATGCATGAAACTGAAGGCACTCCAAATACTGGCAGTTATGTGCATGTTTTCTAAGAATTATTGGCTGCATTGGCCATCTGTAAACAGTTAAGTTTTAAATTTACAGTCTCAGTAGGTCAGCACACTTTATTTTTCTGTTTGCAAAAGCTTCCTTAAGATTCTTCCAACACAGAGACAGAGGTAGGACAGAAGTATTTCCAGGCAGGATGAGTTTGCTCCCAAGAGAGAACTGCTACATTTTCTGAGATGTAACATTACTATATATTTTAAATACAAAAGAATTATTTGCCTCAACACAAATATATGCCTTTAATAAGCCCATTTTAATATAATTATCATCATACTACCTATAACACCCCCCTCCCAGTTACAGTTCAGCACAGAAAAGGTAGCACCATAGAAAAAGTGAGGACACTTGATTGGAAGTCTAGAATGTTTAGTAATCTCCCAATCCAATAAAATACCTAAGCCCCACTGAACTTTCTTCATGTCAGCAGTCCCAGCTGAAGCTAACAGGATCACTCATGCTGGAAGTTAAGCCTGTGCCAAAATACATTGCTAGACCAGGACTTTTCATTTACAAAAACACTCAGCAAACATTTATCTTCCCAAGAAACTGGGCCATATTTGGCCATTAATTATAAAGCAGAACTCCTCATTAGCCACTTAGAAATTAATGACATGAGATGAACTCTCATGGTTATAATAAACTTAACCACAAAGAATTTAGGTGAACTGTTAGAGAAACAGTGAATCAATGTCTGAGTTCAGAGCAGAACCTGGGCATACTTTAAAGCATGTGACTGTATTGGAAGAGAAGGTCATTACTACAGTGAATAATTGCTTTCTACTGTATAATTAAAAAGAAAAGTTCATGCAATTCTCTCTTACCTTGCAGCCAGTCTCGAAAGTAGTGCAACCACATTTTGGGAAGCTGCTTATCCTCTTCCAACAAAATGTATGTCACATTACTGAAACTTTTGTGAAGTTCATAAAGTAAATGCTGGACATGGGGACTAGGATAGTCTGCTTTCTGTGTTACTATATAAATATTGTAAAATGAGAAATACTTGAACTGTGCTGCAATAAAATCATAATCCTGGGTTTCTCGTGGTACAATATCTGTGAGATTCAGTCCATCTCTAGCCTGGGTAGTTCCATAAAGGCTGAGCCCAAGTAAACCCAGAAAAAGAAAAATAACCACAATCTGCAACAGAAAATGGAAACAACTTTGGTTTTATGTTCTTAAAGAAATTAATAACTCGTAATAACACACAGAAACAGGTTCATAATTAATCCCCAATACTATACTTTTAAACTTTTATATCTTTATGCACACACACACACTACAAGGCCAAACTAATTTGTGTTTTAGTGAACAGGAAATTTATATGGTGATGAAGTTAAAAAGTAGATTTGAAGTTACATTTGAAAAGTATGTCATTATAGCACTACCAAGATAAAACTTTTAAAGTGTGAAATTAGGTATAAAATATTAATAATTGTAATTCCAAAATAATTCTATTTTTTGCTGATATTTAATACTATTGTCAGGATAATTTCTCTACTGGCCAAGGCAGAAGTCTATTTTTGAAAAACAGGTAAATAGTTTTCTGTTTACCTTAGCTTTTGGTTTTAGCAGGAATGGAGCATAATGCTTTTCTGAAAAAGATGAGAGTGTCCATTTAGCACAGGGTGGCTTGAGGCAATGCATACTTGAGTCTGAGAATTGGGAAAGCAAATCTCTTGTTGAGTTTGTGCTTTCTGGGCTCTGGCAGCTGATATTATCTTGTGTCACTGTCACTGGCTGCACAGATATTGCTGAGCAAGGCTCTGCTGTGGTGTAGAACACCTGTGCATGAGGATTGCATTCTGTGTGTAACTGCACTGTAGACTGCATTGTAATCTGAGTTTCATGTACAAAACTTTGACTGCTGTATGGGGGTGTACTGTAGCAAGTATTATCCCTGTTTTTCACATATGCTTGAGGCTCAATCTGAAGCACTCTAGTGGCACACGGACTGCAAGAGAAGAGAAAAACATTGTTTGTATTTTGATAGATATTTATTTTAATCAGGATAGATAGGATAATCTGCTTCCATCAAAGACCACTTCTACTACTGTAAAATGTTTATGTTAGTCAAGCACAATATTTTGATGAGGATTTCCTTCATCACTTGTAGGAAATATTTCTTAGACATGGTTTAAAGTATAGGCCTCTGAGCCTGTTTCTGCATGTTTCTTATGCCCAAGAAAGAAAGAATCAGCATTTGTCTGAAGACACTGGCATCCACTTACATCACTCTATTAATTACACGTACTAATCAGGTCAATAACCAGGTAGTTGCACAGTCTAAATGAGTGATATATGATTACATCTACATGACCATGCTGAGAATTAAACTAGTTAGAAAATCAAAATGTAAATGCATGACATGCTGAATTCTTCTGTTTAGAACTATTAAAGTAACTGTTAAATAATATTTGGACCTTCTGAAAAAGATATCAGACTTTTGGGAGGCAGATTGAAACCACTTGCCATACACTGACTGGTGGTGTAAACACATACGAGGATTAATTCCCATGAAGTACAGGCAAAAAAATGTCATAAATAAGCTTCCTTCTGTAAATAAAAACAAATTGCTGATAGAAAACAGTACCAGAGATTTTTCACCAAGTGGAAAAATCCTACAAAAAGGAAGAAAATGTTGCCTACCTAAACAAACAAGCTTTTATTAACTGAATTTCTTCATATGTACATGGGCCATTACATTTGGTCCAACTTCATATGTGGGAATAAAGGGAAGGCCTGACAGCCCTGTACTTCTGAGAATCTGGGCTCCAAAATTCAAGCACATTAGACCATCCAGTGAAACTACGGCTGAATCAGAAACAGAAAGCAGGAGTCCCAACTTGTGATCACCTCCCTGTTCTAATGACTCCCTCAAAAGCAAATTTAGGAAAGCACTCTCTGACATCAAAGTTAAAAAAGGTCAGACTGTGTCAGCTCTTACGTGGGTGCGGAAGGCTAAGAGGACACAAAGGGGTTTCTCTACATCCTGGTTGTGGCATGACATGCATGTGAGAGTACACAAATAGAAATGTAGTTTATCCTCTTCATTGCAGGCAAAACTAATGTAGAAAATATGTTTAAGCGGTGGTTCTGATGATGACAGTAGCTTCCTCCTAGCCCTACCCCTGATCTCAGAGCTGGATGTGTATTAGGTAAGAGTGTGCATACTATAGTTCTAAATTACTATTGGATCCATAGCAGAAAGATTATCAATCATTATCTTGCAATGGTACTGATCATTCTGAATTCCTCACAGTCCTACAAAAAACTGGGCTAAAGAGAAGTAATTTTATAAGTTTTACATTATTTTTATGCATTTAAGTTTCAAGGCATAAAAGGCAAAATAATTATCACAGAGTGATTAAATAAGGTTTCTGAGTACCCCAAGTTATTTACAGTCTTCCATAAGAGACCAGAATTAAGTCTTCCAAGTTTCACCAATACCAGCACTGGACACACTGCAGTATCCCATTAAATTCTAAAAATACAGATATTACTAAAGCACAGCTCTTTTACATGCTTCCAGAAAGTTGTCCTTCAATGGCTAAAATGGATGTACGTATGAATAAAGGAGAAAGTGTGTGTATAGCAAATGTAATTCATCAATAAAACCATGACAGTAGCATACTGACCCTGCTGCTATCCTGCTGCAATGAACTCCCACTCCTGACAAGGGACAGTAGCACTGAGTGGTGATCACAAAAAAGATATACCTCATATACTGTAATTCTATCACACATTCTCACCTTGTAAAACAGCAGAATATATCCAGTCTCCTGTCTTCCCGACGATAAAGGTCCATACTCAGGATAGCAGGAAAAATCAGCAAAACCATAGCAAAGTTGAATACTACCACAACTGCTGCCTAGAGATCAATCACAAGAGATGCAAGGTAATTACTAAGCTCAATTTATGGCATTGGCTTTATAAAGGATAAAGACTCTTCAGTTCTCACCCATCCATCTATTTATCATGTTTACTCATCAGACCCTTTCAAACTTCTCCCTGAGGTGATAGGAGAAATAGAAACTTTACTCACAGTATCCCGCAATGCCCAAATAAGGAACAATATAATCTTAGAGAAGTCCTCGAGAATTAGATAAGGGATGTACTCAAAAAAACAAGATGTAAACTAAGCTCTATATACACAAACAAGGTAAAATAAAGAACAAACGTAACAGTTTTTGGTGGTGAAACACAATGACACTGTGCTTGCTCCAGGACTGAGGTCAAGATGACGAAGACGACCTGGAAGGACCAAAGAAGGACTTCCAATAGGGGAGTGACTATGTAAAGCAAACTAATGAATATGTATTAAGTAAGCAAGAATATCTAATTAATATGTAAACAGTATGTGTAATAAAAAGCCTTGTCTATCTGACATTTGGCACATTCAATTAGAATGCTCAATTGTGTTCCTCTCATATATATTCTCACTCTTCTCTGGTTGCAGTTGCTCCTGCACAATAACTTTTCCCCTTTTTAAATATGTTATCACAGAGGTGTTACCACCATCACTGATTGGCTAGGCCTTGGCCAGGGACAGGTCTGTCCTGGAGCCAGCTGTCATTGGCTCTATTGGACATAGGGCAAGTTTCTAGCAACTTCTCTAAGAAGCCAGCCCTATAGCCTTCCCCACTAACAAAACCTTGCCACGCAAACTCAATACAAAATCATAGTAACCTACTGAATGATTGATGAGTGGTTTTTACTGATGTTTCTCTTTTGCTGTCTCCAGCCTGCTTAAAGTAGGATTTTGGTCCTGCTGATTGGCTGAAGACATAACTACTAAAATCATAGAATCATAAAGTTTGTAAAAGACCATATATTGGTAGATTGTTTTATATTAGGGTTTCTGCTTCTGCTTGCTTTATAGTATCATTAGATTGCTTTAAATACGTTTTTTGCAGCTAGACACTATCACCAACAACCTATGGACCTTATTAACCTGCCACAATTTGTATTAATAAAGAGTGTTATTCTGTAAACTGTTAGAGTCCTTTATAAGGTGCTGACGGTTTGCCAGCTGCAGAATAGCACGTTGGAAGGCCTTTGAGGGGTCTCCCTTATGCTTTTGGTTCCGCCTCCCGAAAAGGGCAATGCAATTACCCCTAATCCTGTGAATCTGTTTGGTGAAGAGTCCCCCCCCCTTATGGGATACCTGACAGACTGGTTCAGATATAAAGGGTTTCATTTTCCTTGGGACGCTGACAGACAAATAAATCACTGAGAGCCAAGAAAATCTCCCCTCTCTAAGGGTTGGGTGAATCTCCTCCCCTTTCATGTGACATACATGCTGAAGCCCTGCTTCCTAGGAAGTAAACATCTCTTGCTAATGGGAAGTAGAGAATAAACCTTGTTATTTTCCTCTTCACTTGTGCAGGCACAAATTTTCACTTTTGCTTTAGTAAACTGCCTTATCTCAACCTTCGAGTCATTTTCCCTCTTATTCTCTTTCCCCTGTCCGGCTGGGAAGAGGAGTGACAGAGCATCTTGGTGAACATCTGGCATCTAGTCAAGGTAAACCCACTCCACTTATATACACAGATTTCTCCAGTACCAGTAAATCCTCAATACGGCTCTCTGGTTGGCCTTTTTGCACATTTCCCCATCTCTTAGATACATATAAAGGGTTACTATGTGTGAGGAATGACACACATCCCTGTCTGCCAGCTCAGGGGGCTGGTTACCCTGAGGATAACTGATCTTTCTGTTGAAGACTAAGGCAAAGAATGTTGGAAGCTCCCCACAAGAAATACATTCATGGTGGAGAAAAATCTCTGAGGAAAAGGAGAATTGAGGAAAGACAGTTTTGGGATACAACTACACTACTGAACAACGGATGATTTTCTACCTCAGAAACAGCGTTTCATGTTACAAAAGTGTTAAGTTTATTCAATTTAGTAACAATGTTGTTAGAGAAATACCTTGCTTTGTATGTAATGTGTTAGTTTCAATTACTGTTAGACCCTGCCCTTATCTGCAATTGTAAACCCTAAGCTCACTACCCTGTTAGTAGAATTTATAGCTCTTCCCTGCTTTCCATTTATGGTACCCATGTTTAGATATTCCCTTGCATGTTAAACTCCCTAGAAATCCTCCCTAATTCCACACATTCCATGCTTTACTGATAAAAAGCTAGCTCACACTGCAATAAAGGGACTTTTTGGTCTTTTGGTCATTTTACCACTTTGCCTCTGTGCCTTCACTGCTAGTGGAGTATCTTGAACCCAAGATCTGAAAATTTCGGTGGTGTCACAGCTACCACGGCAGATAAAGAAGGCATTGAGTAACTCAGCCTTTTCCTCATTCTTGGTTACAATGTTCCCCTCTACATCCGATAAAGGATGGAGATTTTCCTTGGCCCTCTTTTTGTTACTAATGTATTTATAAAAAGACTTTTTTAACGGAATGCAAATTACAGACTCTTGGCTTGATGGACAGAAATCACTTTATTCCCCATGATCCAGGGTTTTTATATCATTCACTTCCCACTGGGAGTGGTTAGGCAAATCAAGGTAGAACACAGCTGCAAGCAACACATCAATCACTCTCATGGCCAGCCTGTCATGTGCACACACACATACAGACCTTGGAGTTTCAAGTTACCCTTTTCACACCCCCACATGGTAAAATTGCAAACTGGAAAGTTAAGCTCTCCCTGGGCAGTAAATCATGGCTTAGAGAAAACAACACAAGGTCATCTGAACATTCTTCAGGCCTTTCTCATGCTTGGCTGCTACATATCTTTCACAACAGGGGCCAGATTGAGTTCTAGTTCAGCTTCCCCCTTTCAAATTTTCTCTCTACATAGAATCATATCATAGAATCATAGAATATGCTGAGTTGGAAGGGACCCATCAGGATCATCAAGTCCAACTCCTGGCCCTACACAGGACACCCCAAGATTCACACCATGTGCCTGAGAGCATTGTCAAAAGGCTTCTTGAACTCAGACAGGCTTGATGCTGTGACCACTTCCCTGGGGAGCCTGTTCGAGTGCTCAACCACCCTCTGAGTGAAGAATATTTTCCTAAAATCTAACTTAAACCACCCCCGACTCAGCTTCATGCCATTTCCTCAAGTCCTGTCAATGGTTGTGAGAGTAAAGAGATCGATACTAGGTCCTCTGCTTCCCCTCATGATGATGTTGAAGACTGCAATGAGGTCTCCCCTCGGTCTCCTCTTCTCCAGGCTGGATAGACCAAGTGACCTAAGCTGCTCCTCATAAGGCTTCCCCTGCAGACCCTTCACCAATCTTATGGCCCTCCATTGGACGCTCTCTAATAATGTCTTTTTTATATTGTGGTGCCCAAAACTGCACACGGTACTTAAGGTGAGGCCATCCCAGTGCAGAGTAGAGCAGGCCAATCACCTCCCTTGACCAGCTGCTGATGCTGTGCTTTTAATGCACCCCAAGACACAGTTGGCCTTCCTGGCTGCCAGAGCACACTGCTGACATATTCAACTTGCCATCGACCAGGACCCCCAGGTCCCTTTCCACAGTGCTACTCTCCAGCCTCTCATTCCCCAAACAGGGTTGCTCCATCCTAGGTGCAGAATCTGGAACTTCCCCTTGTTAAACTTCATGTGGTTGGTGATTGCCCCGCCTTCTAATTTGTTGAGGTTTCTCTGTAGGGCCTCTCTGCCCTCAAGGGAGTCAACGGCTTCTCCCAATTTAGTGTCAGCAGCAAACTTACTTAGTATACCTTCGAGTCCTGTGTCCAAGTTGTTTATGAAGATGTTGAAGACACCTGGGTGGAGGATGGAGCCCTGTGGAACCTCACTAGTGACAGGTCACCAGCCTGATGTTGCCCCATTCACTACAAGTCTTTGTGCCTGACCCATGAGACAGTTGCTCACCCATTGCATAACATGATTATCCAACTGTATGCTGGACATTTTGTCCAGAAGGGTCCCTTGAGAGATGGTATCAAAGGCTTTGCTGAAGTCCAAAGAGATTACATCAACTGGCTTCCCTTGATCAACCAGGTGTTGAAGGAAATCAGGTTCAACAAGCAGGATTTCCCCTCATGAAACCATGCTGGCTGTGACTGATGGCTATGTTGTCCTTCAGGTGTTTTTCAATACTTCCCAGAAGAATCTTTTCCATCATTTTAACAGGCACTGAAGGGAGACTGACAGGACTGTAGTTTCCAGGGTCCTCCTTCTTTGCCTTCTTGAAAATCAGGACAACATTCACCAGCTTCCAGTCAGCTGGGACCTCTCCAGATTCCCAAGCCTGATCAAAAATCATTGAGACAGGTTCTGTGATGACATCAGGAAGCTCCTTGAGGATTCCTGGATGAATCCCATCAGACTCCATAGACTTTTAGGGATCTAGCTGGAGCAGCAGATCCCTCACAACATCAGGGTCAACTAGAAGTTGATCATTCTCACAGTCATGGGCCTCCAGCTCAGCCACTGGGACCCCCTTAGCCTGTCATCAGGGTTGAAGACAGAGGAAAAGAAAGCATTAAACATCCCTGCCTTGACTCTGTCCCTGTTTGTGAGGTGGTCATCTTCATCCTGTAACAGGTCTATGTTGTTCCTGCACTGCTATTTGCTATTAACATATTAAAAATATCATCTTTTTATTGTCCCTCACAGTACTGCCCAGCTTCAACTCCAATTGAGCTTTGGCCGCACGAATTTTCTCCCTCAACATCACTGTATTCCTCCCATGTCAGCTGACCTTGCTTCCACCAAGCATACACCTTTCTTTGCCTTATTTCCAAAAGAAGATCCCTGCTCAGCCAAGCTGGCCTTCTTGACACCTGCTTGACTTCCAACATTTGGGAATTGCCTGTTCCTGTGCCCTTAGGAAGTGGTGCTTAAAAAGTGACCAGCACTGATGGACCCCAGTACCTGAAAAAGTGTTTTCCCAGGGGACTTTACTTACTAATTCCCTGAGCAGCCTGAAGTCTGCTCTCATGTCCAGAGTTGAAGTCTTGCTGGCACTTTTCCTCCTGTCAACAGAGATTTTGAACTAGATTACTTCATGGTTGCTGTGGCCAAGGTGGCCGCCCATCTTCACTTCCCTCACAAGACCCTCTCTGTTAAAAAGCAACAAATCAAGGAGGGCATCTTTCCTAGTCAGTTCTCTTAGTACTTGTATTGTGAAGTTCTCATTCTGGTGTTTTAGGAATCTTCTGGACTTGTTTGTGCCAGCTGTGTGGTGTTCCCAGTTAACATCTGGCAAGTTGAAGTCCCCCAAAAGGACAAGGGTAGTTGATTTGTAGGTGCCTCTTAATTCCTCAAAGAATAATTCATTGGCATTATCATCCTGGCTAGGTGGTCAATTGTACACTCCTACCATGACATTTGCATTATTTCTTTGTCCCTTGATTCTTACCCAGAGGGTCTCAACTGTGCCATTGCCAACTGTAAGCTCCATATGTTCTAGCCCCTCCATCACATCCAACACCACCCCTCTGCCTCTTCTGCCCTGCCTATCCCTTCTGAAGAGTCTGTAATCAACCAACATGGCACTCCAGTCACAGGACTCATCCTACCAGATTTCACTTATGCCAATGATGTCAAACCTGTGGGACTGGGCCAAAGCTTCCACCTCCTCTTGTTTGTTCTTCATGCTGCATGCATTAGTGTAGAGATGTTTCAGGTGTGGTACTTTGTGGCCAACACCTCGTGAAACAGATTGAGGGATTCCATTAATACTCATTTCCTCAAGTTTTGGCACACTGTCCCATTGCTCATCACTGGCAAGCCTGGTTTTGTCCTTTTCCCCCTTCCAAGCTAGTTTAAAGCTCTGTCAACAAGCCCTGCCAGCTCCTGTGCTAGAACTCTTTTTCCCTTCTGAGAAAGGTGCATCCCATCAGGTGTCAGTAGATCAGGTGTTGAGGAGATTATCCCATGGTCAAAAAACCCCAAATTTTTTCACTTACACCAGCCTTGGAGCCATGTGTTGATCTGATGGATCTGCCTATTCCTATCAATATTATTACTTGGTACTTGAAGAATCGAAGAAATCACTACCTGTGCTCCAGATCCTTCAACTAATCATCCCAAGGCCCTGAAGTCTCTTTTGATGCCCTTGGACTTCTCCTTGTTATTTTGTCACTGTCAGCTTGAACAACCAATAATGGATAGTAATCAGAGGGCCTTACTAGACTGGAGAGTTTTCCAGTAATGTCATTTATCTGAGCCCCTGGGAGACAGTAAACTTCCCTGTGAGTTGGGTTGGGTCTTCATATTGGACTCTCTGTTCCCCTTAGAAGGGAGTTTCCTATTAAAATTACCCTTCTTTTCCTTTTAACAGAGAAGATTGTGATGTGGGGTACAGGTGGGGTTGCTTTAGGAGGCCCCTCTGTCCCAGAAGGACCTTCACCCACCTCATCAGTATTCTGGCCTTCTAGTTTCAGGGCCTCATACCTGTTGTAGAAAGTGCCAGTCCTACTTGTTAAACTTTCAGAAGGAGAAGGAACCTTCACCTCACAGTGACCAGCTTCCAGCCTTCATCTTCAACAGACCCTTGACTATGGCAGGGTTCTGTCCATCGCTTCTCCACAGCAATGGAGGTTCAAGAGTCTCAAGAGCCTTGAGACTGTAGCATCTCTGTAAATAACCAGTCAATCTCTTGCTCTATTCTTCGAATACTGCACAGCCTATTCACTTCCTCCTGTAGCTCCCTCACCTGGCAACACAGCTCTTCAACCTTCTGCAAAATAACTGTTTGTCTGCCCCAGCCTCACAGAGAGGCATCAGACACTCTTGGCAACCTGTGACCTGAAGAGCTATATCAACCATCATTAGGTCTGTCTGGCTGGAGGCCTCTGACACAGCTGGTTCAGTGACTCCTGCAGCTACAGAGGTTTGAGCTCTATGGTGTGTCAAGACCATAACTGAAGAAGTTTACACTAGTACACTAATAAGGCTGGGACTGAAAGGATCTTATTGTGCTCTTCTCCACCAGATACTGAGTCTGTTTGCTACCTCTATTGGCTGATCCCCGATGGTCAGAGTGGAGCCCTTCCTGCTTACCCTGCCTGTGCAAATGGCCGTGCCGTGCTCCAGGTCACTCGTGCTCCTTTAGAGATGTTTAAATTGCCCTCACTGTTTCCAGCAACACACCCTCTGTGCCTGATTGGGCTTTCAGGGCCTGACGAGGCTCGGGGCTGCTGCTTGGGTATCCCTGAGCTTGGGAATGCCCCTCTACAGCTTGATCTAATCCTGTCCACCGGATTTACCACTGCTGCCGCTTTGCCAACTGACTGTTGGTTTTGGTCTTGCCTCATTTAAGTTGTCCTTGCATTTCCCAGTAATGCCCTCTCTGCGCCTGACCTAATGACATCCTTGTACCCTTCCTGAGTTACCTGCCCCTTCTTCCAAAGGCATAAACTCTCTTCTTTTCCCCTGAGTTCCAACAAAAGCTCCCTGTTCAACCAGGCTGGTCTTCCCCACTGTCTCGTCTTTCGGCACATGGGGAAGACCTGCTCCAGCACCTTTAAGATTTCCTTCTTTAAGTATGTCCACTTTTCCTGGACCCCTTTCTTTTTAAGGGCTGTTTCCCAAGGGACTCTCCAAAACAGTGTCCTGAACAGGCAAAAGTCTGCCCTCCAGAAATCCCATGTAGCAGTTTTGCTTACCCTCTTCCTTACTTCACCAAGAATCAAAACTTCTATCATTTCATGGTCATTGTGCCCAAGACAGCCTCTGACCACCACATCTCCCACCAGCCCTTCTCTGTTTGTAAATAGCAGGCCCAGTGGGGCACCTCCCTGGTAGGCTCACTTACCGGCTGTGTCAGGAAATACATGCTTCAGCACAGAAAAATCACATTTTCTCTCAAAACAGAACAGAAAATTCTTGAAATTTTCTCCAACATTTTGCTAAAATTACGTTGGGAACAAGTCAGTACAAACTGCTACAGTAGTTATTAATGTGGCAAATGCACCTTGGTTATGGTTTGTAATAGCAGCAAATTCGACAAACCTCAATGAAAGGATTAAATTCCTACTTAGGAATGTGATGGTGTAAGCTAGAGTATAGTGTACTGATCTAGACTGCCTTAAGAATTCAAATCTTGCTGGCGACTTGTTTCTGCTTAGACCAAGAGGTTTTTGCACTCAACTTAGTTCATAGAATCATAGAATCATAGAATAGATTGGGTTGGAAAAGACCTCCAAGATCATCAAGTCCAACCCCTGATCCAACTCCAATTACTATATCATGGCACTAAGGACCACATCCAATCTCTTTTTGAAAACCTCCAGGGATGGTGAATCCACCACCTCTCTGGGTAGGCCGTTCCAATGCCCTGGGATGGGGCAGGATATTCTTTCACCCACAAACAGGATATGAGTCTCAAGGTATGAGAAATGGAAGGAGCAGAATCAAGAGGAGAAAGCAGTTGGCTACCACCAAGAACTATGGTAAACTATAGTAAACAGTGATCCCATATTGGTTGAGTGAACTGCAGAAGCACTGAACATGGTCTTTACCATTCATTTCCACAATGACACCATCTACAAGAGCTAAAAAAGCAACATAAGAACTTACTTGGAGTGAAAATGCTCGTAAAGCAGGAATAGGGATTAAGGCAGCCATAAAAAAAGCAGTAACATTGCTGATAGATGTAAGGGCTACACTTGCTCCTGTTCGCTTCAAACATTCACCTGTTCTGTCCTGCAAAACAAAGTAAAACAAATAAGGTGATGTTCTTCAAATGAAGAGATCATCCTACAGATATACCATGGTAACAGTGAAAAGTATTACAAGGAATTTCTGAATAAAAGTATGCATTTGAGAGTTTGTAAGAGTAAACAACATACTAAGTACACTGTCCAGGAGAAAAGCAGATGACATATGAAGTGCTTACATTTTTTGAGGGTAGCAAACATTATCAAAGATGACACTGGCTTCAAAAGTCAAAGATAAATGGATAATGCTATTATATCAAATACATCAGTTAAGTAGGATGTGTTCTGTATCAGTGCAGTAACTTGGTGTTCTTAACATTTTTCAGACAAAATAAGCATACATTAACAGTGTAGATTCATAATGTCTTGAAGAAGCATGTGAGAAAAAAACCCCAACAAACAGATATCCCAGGAACCACACAAAAAACAGAGGATCAAACACAGGACCCTTTCCCAATGCAGTAGGTTATTTTGAAGCATATGAAGGTTATAGCACAATGAGTTTGTATTGCCTGCATGCCAAACCAACTGGAAAGAGCACATGGAAGACACTGCTTGTACAAAACTAAACTGACAAATATATATTGCTTTTAAATTATTTGTACTTTGGATATGAAACTCTGGACTGAGAATAAAAAGGTCAATAAAAGGAAAAGATTATAAAAGTGAGGAGGATCTTAGATTTCAAAATGTGAATATATGAATGTCATGGTTAATTATAAATAAAAGGAAAGAAAACCAGGTCCAAGAACAAAGATCTCTAGAACAAAAGCTTTTTTAAAAAATCATTACTAACTAATTCTAGGTATATTTTCCTCTACAAGGTTTTTCTTTTACTTTATTCTTTTATTTTCCCCAAACACCCCATTTTGTCATTACCTCAAATGGAATTCTCTTATTCTGCCCTGTTTCACTAAATGCATGTACCAGAAGGAATATATCATCTACACCAACTCCAAGAGCAAGAAAAGGCAAAACCTTGGGGAAGAAACAAAACAAGCAAAAAAAAAACAATAGCATTTTTATATTATTCTTATGATTTTCCATGCAGATAGTCGTTAGATGGCTAATCAAAATAAACTTTACACTACACTCTGAAGAGAAATCCAAGGTTAAAATGAAAATCAATGTGATGCGATACAGCTATTAACTTTCATTCTGAAAGACTGATGAGGAACTTGCAGTATACCATTTAGAGGTATAAAACCTCACTAAAAGTAATTCAAGCTTTTGGTAGTCAAAGAATAACAGACAATATTTCAAGTTATTTTCAAAATATTTTCAGGAGTTGAACATCCCTATATATTTGGATGTAAGGGCAAAACTTGCAGTTTCTTGTGTACAACTGGATGCTTGCGCTCATACTGAGACACAGAAGAACAAATATCCTAGAATCTACATAATTAAACAAACTGCAGGATATCTGCCTTTTTCTTAAAATTATTTGGCAGCACGTTCTCCTAATTTCTCACAGCACAAGCTCCTGGATAGGAGAAAGATGCAAGTAAAAATCAAAAAATCAAAATATTTTCTCAGCTTATGTTTTTCCTCAAAGATTGATTCAGATGTGTTTATTTGCTAACAAAGTTCTTATAATATAGCAGCAGACTTTTGGCTCCTCAGTACCTGAGTTGTGGCAGCATTAAAGGAAATTCCAATCAATGAGCACAGACCCAGTCCTGCAGCCACTGAGAGCGCAACCAAGAAGATTCCTGCCAGCCCCACAGCACCTTGAGATTTTGCACAGTCCCACCGCAGCATTGTTAAACAGGCATAGGCAAGCTGAAAGCAAAGCATGGATTGGATTAGAATGGATCCTTCTCTATTCCCTATCCCCCCTCAACAATATACATAGCTTACAAGTGGTTTTAAACAGAACAGACATATCAGAGATGTTACATAGAGGAATAGGTGACAACGCTGAGGCAAATGTTTACAAACTGCAATTTTTAAGTATTCTGAAAATGTTCTCGACTGTTGACTGGTAACAAGAAGGCAGCCATTTGAACCCTGCTATACTACTGGAGTTAATTAAACAAATAGAATTTAATTTCTTACCATTAGTAAGTAGCCACTAGCTACTCTGATAACGCTGACATCAGAAAATGACTTTAGAATGTCATCCAGGGTAGTTGTAGTAAAGGAAAGCACCTTCTGAGTAGAGTTTTCTGCAACACTTTGATGAACAACCTATAGAAAAAAAAAATTAGTGTGCCTAAGAAAGAAGCCCATTATCATCTTCTATAGCAAATATCTGAAATCAACTACTTTTGCCTTAATGTTCCAATTCAAGCATACACCCTATAACAGAGATTTCACTGAGGCTATACGAAATAAATATTTTTTGTAATCATTTCTTGCAAGCTACTGATTATCAAACAAGAATTTACATCTTCAGGAAAGGCCACTGCATTCATAGCTCATTCGAAACATTTAACTCCTGAAATGTAAAGTAGGTTTCTTCTTTCCATAACTCTGCCACTGATTTGCTGTTGTATGAGTTTTGCCTTTAATCCAAGGTCCAGCAAACAGTAAAATCTTCATGGCTTCTCATATGTGTTTAAGCAAGTAGCTTCTTAATTAAAAAAAAAAAAAAATCAACCTTTTCACAGAATCACAGAATCAACTAGGTTGGAAAAGACCTCTGAGATCGAGTCCAACCCTTGACCTAACTTATCAACTAGACCATGGCTGAAAGTGCCGCATCCAGTTTCTTCTTAAATACTTCCAGGGATGGTGACTCCCCCATCTCCCTGGGTAGCCCATTCCAATGACTAATCACTCTCTCTGTAAAGAACTTCTTTCTTGACGCAGCTTAAGACTGTACCCTCTTGTCCTACCGCTAGTTGCCTGGGAGAAGAGACCAACACCCACCTGGCTAGAACCTCCTCTCAGGTAGTTGCAGAGAGTGATGAGATCTCCCCTGAGCCTCCTCTTCTCCAGGCTAAACAATCCCAGCTCCCTTAGACACTCCTTATAGGACTTGTGCTCCAGTCCCTTCACCAGCCTTGTTGCCCTTCTTTGGACATGCTCCAGCACCTCAACATCCTTCCTAAAATGAGAGACCCAGAACTGGACACAGTACTCGAGGTGCAGCCTAACCAGGGCCAAGTACAGAGGAAGAATCACTGCCCTGGTCCTGCTGATCACACTATTGCTGATCCAGGCCAGGATGCCATTGGCCCTCTTGGCCACCTGGGCACACTGCTGGCTCATGTTCAGCCTGCTGTCAATCAGCACCCCCAGGTCCCTTTCTGCCTGGCTGCTCTCCAGCCACCCTGTCCCCAACCTGTAGTGCTCCATGGGGTTGTTATGGCCAAAGTGCAGGACCCAACACTTGGTCTTGTTGAACCTCATACCGTTGGATTTGGCTCATCTATCCAGCCTGTCCAGGACTCTCTGCAGAGCCCTCCTGCCTTCCAGCAGATCAATACTCCCCCCCAACTTGGTGTCATCTGAAAATTTGCTAATGGTAGACTGGATTCCCTCATCTAGATCATCAATAAAGATAATAAACGGGACTGGGCCCAACACTGATCCCTGGGGGACACCATTAGTGACCGACTACCAACTGGATGCAACACCATTCCCCATCACTCTCTGGGCCTGGCCATAAGCCAGTTCCTAACCCAGCACAGAGTGCCTCTGTCCAAACCGTGGGCTGCAGCTTTTCCAGGAGTATGCTATGGGAGACAGTGTCAAAGGATTTGTTGAAGTCCAGATAAACCACATCCACAGCCTTCCCCTCATCCACCAGGTGGGTCACCTGGTCATGAAAGGAAATCAGTTTGGTCAGGCAGGACCTGACCCTCCTAAATCCATGTTGTCTGGGTCTGATCCCCCAGCTGTCCTGTATGTCATGTGATTGCACTTGAGATGATCTGCTCCATAAAGTTGCCAGGTATCAAGGTAATTTTAAAATTGTTTGTTACAGCATAAGGATAACTTTAAAACCAGGATACAACACTTAATTCTAGTTTAGGCATCTTCCTTGAGAAAATACTATAAAAAGCCACAACTAAAGGTCAGTGGATCTTAGTAAAGCTATATAGCAAGACATCTAGGCTATTGTCAGTTTTACCTCAACATACATCCGCTGCCAGGCTTCCAGAATTGCTGCTGCCTTATCCTCACTCCAGTTGATATGTGAAACATATTCATACCCCTTGAAGTGCTCATACATTTGCTTAGGAGTCATTAACTGAAACATGGTTTGCAAAGCCTGGGCACTGTAACAGGGAGAGAAGAGAGAGGAAAAAGAGGCATTAAAATAAGTATTTTTGGGAACTGTTTTTTTCACTGCATAAAGGCTCAAATGAGGGTCTAACAGGAGCTTGCACAAATTCTGGATTTTATAAGTCACATGTTAATATTAAAATTGAACAGAGTATAATTATTCTACCATGTATCTGGTGAAGCTGTAGTGGTCTATACAGTACTGATGCTAAGTCTATATTTCACTGAAGTTAGTATTTTGCCATTATTTTCAATAGGATCACTTCCAGGAGCAAAGAATGGAACCCTACAAATCAATTATAAAGATCATGACTTACAGATTGCTATGAGAAGGACACAGAAACAGTTATTCCTATGAGATCTTACAAATGCTGTTGGCAATTTGTCATTTGCAGACCTTGGTCTTCTTCATACCATGGAGAGAAATGCCAGACTAAACTCCTGACAACTGACAAGCAGTAAAGAATACACAAAAGGCAATAATTATCCATTGTAAATTTACACAGTATGTAACTGTACCCAACAATTTTAGAAGCTTCAAGAGCTATTTCATTTTTCACCAGGAATAAGGTCTTTGGCTATTTGTTGGAAGCCACTTCTGTGCACTTTTCCACTTTCAGTATTTAGTGTCAATGTAAAAAACATCAAAATCCATATAAAAAGTTCTAGTAAAAATTATCTGTATTAAATATGTAAGAATTATACTTCAAGGGGTTTTCCCCCCAAAGTCCATGACTTCTTCAAGAAGTCTAAAAGAAAGGGTTTTATTTTGTCTGTCAGAAAACGTATTCAAGATATGGTGAGTAAAGAATATACTTTTCTCTGTATTGACCTTAAACAAAGAGTTCAATGGAGATTTTTGATTTTTGATAAAAGAAAAACAAGTGGGCACATTATCCAAGTTATATTTCCCTTTTTTTTCCTTTGATCATATTTCATAAACACAAAGTTGTTCATTACTTTAAATACTGTTCAATACTTTATACATACACTCTAAAGAACAAAGTTGACAGGAAAAAAATTCTTTCTGAGAAATGTACACTATCATTTTTAGGTTTGAAGTAGGCAGCAATGACACCTCCTTAAATTTAAACAACTGTTTAATCATCACTCTTTTAAATTTTGTCCTCCTAGACCAGGGTTAATAATACTGACACCTTAGAGCTTTTTTGATTCTTTTTAGCATTTTGTAGATTTTAGAAGTAGTTATGTAGTAAATGTAGATTTTAATGTAGCTATATAATACCTTACCCTTTAACATAGTAATTTACAAATACCCAACCCTATTACCCCATTTTATATCAAACTTTCTAAATTCCTTTAGTATATTTAGTCTTCTTTTAAAGGTAGAACTGTAGAAAAACACCTCTGTTTAAGAACATCACACCCTAGACCTCAACAACAAGATACCATGACAGGCAAAAGCAACCTTCAAGCCCAGAATTTTGGAGGAGTTCCAAGGACTGTATGTGCTGTGAAGAAGATGAAGATGAGGAAGAAGGGGTTCCAAAGACTCCAGACCCAATTGCCAAAGGGATGTGTCGGGGGGCAGAACTGGGCAGAACCGGGGTGGACAGATCTGGAATTGGATGGACCTTATTATAAAATCATAGAGCCACTGCCTGGGTGCATGCATTGTGTGTATTCCCCTGACCCTGTGGGTCTGATTAAAGGACCCACTCTTTTTATCTTATACACTACATTGACCTGGAGTTTTTTTCTCTGCTATCTCTTTAGGTTACAATACACATCATTCACAGATTGTGAAAGACAGTTGATTTTGCATGATATGGCCCCCTGTGAAAAAAAACCCCAAATTCTAACAAAGAAAAAATTAAAAATTCTTATGTAAACATTTGTTTGCTTACCTGACAAGCTTACCAGAACTATTCTTGACTGTACCACCTATAATCAATTCCTCCTGCCAATGCATGTATTTTCTTGACAGTCCATAGCATCCACCACTCAAAACAAGAGCCACATCAAGAGGCTAGAATAAAGTTTTAAAGAAGCAATTCATCAGTTGCACAACTTCAGACAAATCCTAAATTAACACTGAGTTTACTGAAATAACAGATATTGAAGATCATCTAGAAAGTCTACAAAGAGAAATGTGTTCAATAAATGGGAGTAGACAAACTAGCCTGATACTTGTTCACCAGATAGCAACTTCTCCAAAATGACTGAGAAAGGGATATATCAAGTTGGGTTAACAAAACTGGCCCTACTTGAAGGAAGGCCTTGCTGCATAGTGTCAGTGTACAGCAGCAGCCATATTCCAGGAGTAACTGTGTCTGCCTGAGGCATATTGCTTGCTTAAATTATATGTCAACACATTGCCACACCTAGTCAGTAGTTGAGAACTGTAATTTCACTCTAAATATGTGATTAATATTGCATCACAGGATGAGGGAAAGTTAGTTACCCTGGGCTAATTATATAATAGGAACTAAATAATGAAATCCCTGAAGAACATAAAATATATATTACTTGGAAGGGAATGATGCCCTTTTCTCTCACCACACATACAGAACCTCCCTTGAAAGGATTTACATACAGGTAAGCAAACTTACTTTGGTGGAATTTTTGTTGGGAGCTGTGATTGGACAATCGGGATCAGCAGGATTCAGACAAGGTCGATCCATATAACCATGACCAACCTCTGCTTTTTTCAGCATTTCTTCCCAGCTCTCCACTTGGTAATTTATTTTTTTTAACTTTTTTAAGAATTCTAAGGGGTCAAAGTTGATCCACTGAAAAGGAGGTTTCCCTCTGTTAAAGAAATCAGGGGAGAATGACAAAAAAAAGACAAAATAAGTACTGAAACATAGTTTTTAAATTTGTATTTTTGCACATGTTGAAGTTCTTTTCTGTTACAAGCTATAACCTTTTCTGGTAAGGTCGTTTCATAAAATGAAATGCATGTTTTAATTATATTTATTTATGCATACTTTTCTTGTAGGCCCTGTGGTGATTTTAACAAAAATATCAGTCCTTACATACCAATTTACTGTACAAAAGGGAATATTCACGTTAAAAATAATTTCATTTACAAACCAAGTAAAACAATCAAGCACCTAAATAACAAAAACACAGCCAACTGCTGCTTCAAAGAATTTGGAAAGAGGGGAGAGGGAAAGAAGGGAGGAAGTTGAAGAAAGAAATCCTTTCACATAGTATCAGATTACTTTTTGCTGGTCTAATAATCATCTTGCAAATGTAATCAATCAATAAAGCTGGTCTTTCTTTATCTATACAATTCTGTGTTTCTGCAAATGCCCTGGTTACTTGACTATCAACCATCAAGCTTTCCTGCTACCATGGTTGTCATCACTGTCACATCTCCCACCCCCTACTTTTGAATTTGCGATGTTAACAGACTGTGATAAACTATATATTTTTTTTTTAGATTGTTTTTGTAAGGCTTACTAACACTTCATGCTATGGATGTGTGATTTATATATGTATTTCTCTCATGGCTGTTAAGACTACATATATACGTTTTAAAGAGTTTTTTAGAAATATGCATCCCCCACGTAACTGTGGAATGCTGTTAACAA